TAACTCGGGGATCTGAGAAGCTAGAACGCTGAAATCTTAGGGGGATGTTCCCCGTCCAAGTAGGTGTTAATGCACTGAAACCCATCCCCCGGATGAGCGTGGTACCTGCATACGGGCCCACCAAAATTTTTTTGAGGTAAGTTCATAACTCGAGGATCTGAGAAGCTAGAATGCTGAAATCTTAAGGGGATGCTCGCTGTCCAAGTAGGTGATAACTCAGAAACCAGGAAAGCTAGAAAGCTGAAATTTTAAGGGCTGTTTCCTGCCAGTTCTGGCGGCCAGTCTTAATTTATTCAGCTAGAAACATTTGTCGAAAAAAAGCGATGCCGGTAGCGGCAGAAACTGCGGGAAATTATGCAAAAAACGCATCTTCGCACGGGCAGCCCGTGCGTTGGCCAATTATTATTAGTTTCGCTGTTATTATTCTCATTACCATTACCATTCATCCAGAACGAGACTAAGAGGTAGGGGCAGAGACGAGAGCGACGAGGGGGAAGGGATGATAGCACTGTGATTTTCGATTCTGATTCCTTCTGAGTTTGGGTTGCGGCATTTCCTGGAAGTTCTAGGATCGAGCGTATTTGTGGAATGTCGGAGTGAACTATTTTATAAGAATTTTGAAGAGAGACAATACGCTGCAGATTTCTATACGGCTTCGAGCCGGCAGATTTCTCCGGAAAAGCTTTTTGTTCTTCCAACGTGTGCATGTATTCTAGTAATATCGCTAGCATCGAATAGCTAAACCCATCATCCAGGCTGTCTTAATACTTTTGGTATCACCGCATATTTTTATGTTTTGTAGGGAAAAGTCGCACCACAGGTCATCTAACTTTCACTCTGCTTAGTAGAGGGGTGTTTCCGAAATCGCGAAAAACAGAAAGTTTTAAATTTTTTTTTTCCTTTTTTATGCGTTTTGGGCTGTGTAACAGCAGCCCAAAACGCATATTGTCACGGGTTGTCTGTGTGTGCGTGTATGTGCATGTGTATGTATGTGTGTACATTTTGTCTCGCACTTTCAACTCGGGAATCACTGAAGCTAGGCGACTGAAACTTTGGTAGAGTGTTCCCTGCCGGCGTGCAACCTCGCAAATTTAAATTCAACCTTCCTGTGCCCGCGGGTAACACGTGCGGCCC